ATATATATATATATATATATATAACTTTATTGTATCACTATTATATCACTTATGTATATATACATAACTTTATTATATCAATATATTTATATTCTAAATAAATAAATAAATATATATATATATACATATAACTTTATTACTATCAAATGTTTATAAATATTTATGAAATACTATTTTTCAAAAAATAGATCTATATATACATATATATAAGTGATAAGAAATTATATATGTAAAATCCGAGTATGTAATATCATGTTTACAAAATGCAGTAAACATTATATAGATAAATTTTAGGGATTTTTAAATAATTATTGATAGATATTAAAATTAATGTTAAATATTAATAAATTTTACCATCGACATGTTGCAGGGCTAGTACTGTCAGTACCAAAGAAAGTAGCTTTAACATGATTACTTGTCAATAACTCTATAATGTTAACATTCACGAAAGTCAAGCTTTTACTGAAGAATTTTGTTTTTCAACGTTGCATTTATATAACTTTGAACCATCATAAACTCAATAGCTAAACCATTAGGGATTGAGTAAACGATAATTTTTCGTAGATCTTATCGACGAAACTGTAGATTGTTCTTCAGGAATAAATTGTATTGTAAAAGTTTCCAGACGATTCAGTGATAAATTTTTATGTTAGGAATGGATTTCCTAGAGCTTTAAAGATAAGTATCATTTTACCCGAAGACTTTTTTTTAAAAAGTATTTATTAATATAATAGATAAATATGATATAATTGTAATATATTATATAATTGTAAATTTAGTTAACATTTTATAAATACTTTGTGAATTGACGATGTAATAAGTCCAAATATAAAAAAAGTTTATTATAGTTTATTATGAGTTTATATTATAGAAATTGCAAATATCAAGAATATTTGGTTCATTTACCGATTTAATTTACCAAATATATTTAATATATTTTATGCTATGTTAATAAAGACATAAAAATCAATTTTTAGATGATAAGTAAATACTTGTTTATTCGTTATGTTATTCTTTCTTTACTATTGAAAAAAATATAAATTTCTTTTACGTTATCATAATTATTGCTTTTTCTTTTCTCACAATAAAGCTACATTCTGTTTTCAGTACATGAAAATTTAATTTTCACAACATTAAGAAAAATTAATCAATTGACTTGTCAATCAAGAAGTTCATATATACTTTAAATTATTAGAAAATTAGGAATATATTATAAATTTAAGTTATTTTAATATCAGCATTACAGCTTTTATTTAAAATGCTGTTAATTAGTGAAAAAGAATTGCATTCAAGATTTTATCAGAAAGATAAAATTTTATCGTGTAATTTTTAATTTTTCCGTCCTTGAATGTTCGTTTAATTAAATAATTATTATTTCATATTGTAGATACACGTGTCTTTGACATACGTTAATTGAATGCATAATTTAGATTACAATTTGGTATCGTGGATCTTGATCATGATAACGCAGCAGTTCGTACGTTTGACTAAAAATAATACTATAATAATATAATTATCATGCTCAGTGTTTTTTTCTCCTCAAAAATGAAACCGTTGACATAAATGTTTTATAATGGGGATTATTTTAAGAACACAATATAAATAATGATGAATAAAGATGTACATTTTCAAATGAAAAAACTTTTTGATCTTTTATATTAATACTTAAGAGATATTTCTAAAGAGAAGATTATAATTCATATGAAATCTATAAACTTTTGATTCTGTGAAATAAAAGAAAACCGTAGAAAAGAAAACATAAAAGTCGTAGCACTTGAAATAAGACGAAAATCAAAAGTATTTATGTGTCTGAACATTATGTTGGAGATTTCATTTTTGAGAAAATCGAATTTGAAAATTTGCCTTATATATATAAAAGAAAGTCCAACAAATGATAATAATCACAAATTGTATTATAGGAATGCAAATTGATCAGTATAACTAATTACTTCGAATGACGAATTGAAACATACATTGATGATATATATAGTTGCAAACATAGTTTGAAGATTATATATACTTATAATAAATAAATTCCAAGAAGAAATATTCATTAATATGAGAAAAATAAAAATTCTATCTTATTTGTGTTTTAATTGAAGTGTATTGTCTATTTCTGTACAAATGAATTAGTCAGAAATTGATATATCAATTGATTTATCAATAAAAAAGTCGTATAATATTTTTGAGTAAATTATAAATCTGTTTTATTAAGTTCGACGTTTCAATAAAGCAATAATTTTAAAACGTAAAAATTTAATTTTATGTAATAATTTTTGTAAACTCGTTACTTTAACATTTTAAATTATGGTTACTTATATTATTGGAGAACAATATTACAAGCTGTATAATTAAAATGTTGAATGCATATAAAATAACTGTACGTTAATCTTTTAATTTTTTATTCATAAGTATAAATCATAATAGTATGAGTATAAAGTATAAATTTTAGTTATGAGCATAATTTTTTATTTATGTATTTCTTGCTTCCGATAGCAAAAGTAATTTTCTAATAAATTAGAAAACTCTACAAACATAAACAGATCATACTAGCAAGTGAATATTCATATACATATAAATGAAATTTTCAACAGTTTTTTGTAATGAAATCTTGAAATATATCTCCAATCATAAGTCATCAAATATTTACTGCAATCGATATTCAATTAGAAATGTATTAATTATTTATAATGTAAAAGAATAATGAAGGAAGTATATAGATAATCTAAGTCATAAGTCTTACAAAAACATGTACAATTAATTATATTTAATCCTTTCTATTCTTTTGAATAATTTTTTTCATTTCAACAAATATAACGATAAAAATGTTGCGGTTTCTTAAATGTAGTCCAACAATAAGCCTAAGTCCAATAATATAGTGAAAGAAAGTTGTACATAAAGTTTTAGGAGATCATTGTAAAAAGAAGGTTTCAATCTTCAAATCCATTGTAAATTTAAATATGAAAAAAATTGTTTAATGCTTTTATATGACAATTTATAGCATTTTTCAGAAGAAAAGTGTCTTCACTTTTTCATCTACTACATGATGTAAAAACATCTTCGAATAAAATGAATGGTATACCTTGAAAATAGGGACTTTTAGGAAGGGATTTTTAGGAACTCAGGGACTTAGGAAGTTTTAAAACGAAGTCAGATTTTGTTTGTACGATTTTGTTTTACGAAGTTGTAATAGTTTCAATATTTGCCGTTCGAATATTAATATGAGTAACTGTGTATAATGTAACAATGAATTATATAGATGGACGTTACTCATTATTCACAAATCAGGGGCTAGAGGCAGGTTACACGTGTCTTGACATTGAACTCCACAGGTAGATGTGTACTTTGCCTTCGAGCACAATAGATACCTCTCTAAAAGGGAACGAGCCTGCTGTCCAAAGCGTCTTCAGATTAATGCGCAGAAGGTAATCAACTTTCGCGACTGGGATTCCCCGGCAGCGTCACTCAATCGTACGGAGTCAAGAAATTTTTCTAGCAACAAAATGATAAAGAATTTACGTAAACGATCTATTCTGTTTATTATTGCTATGAAACAAATAATATGAATTTTTTTTGAATTCTAATTAGATTTTATGCAGATTCATATTTTTGAAAGTATTATGAAAAATATTATTAAAACTCGATAGGAAATTAGTATCAAATATTGTGGAAAGCATTATATTATACTTTGGATATTTTACGTATTAATTCATATTATTTACATTGTATAAAATTATTTTAAACTATGACAATACTATGATATTATGTATAACTATATAACACTATATATAATACACAATATTATACATTATATCCGTATTATGTAACAATAAAATAATATAATTTATTATTAATTTTTTATTAATATCATATAGAAGAATATAATTTCACAAATATTTAACTGTACAGAGTTGTATATAAGTGATGATACATAGCAGAAACAAATGTAAGTTTTTTAAAAATATATAACAAGTATTTTATTTATAACAAGTATCTATAGTTATTAATTATAATTATGAATATTTTTCTGTATATAATGATTATACATTTATACAATTATTATACATTTATACATTTATAGATAGGACATAATTTTATTTGGCATAATTCCACATCAATTTTACAAATTCTGAATGACGTATAAGTTTTCAAATAAAATTGTAATAGAAAATTTTAATTATTTCGTTTAAATATTTTATTTAATTCTGTGGACTAAGAATAGAAATAACTTCTGTATTAATTTAAATCAAAAAATTAAATGGAATAATTATTTAGTTTAGGATACATAGATGTTTCTATTTTATTTAATCTTTTAATTTAAATTACTATGGAAGTTATTTGTAATTTTAATTCGAAGTATTTTCCATGTATAATTAAATAGAAATTTTAAATAAAACAATTTGAATTTGTATAATAAAATATTGTATATAAGATGTAAGTTGAAATTTTAATTGTTTGTAACTTAAACTTGATTTAACTTAATTAATTTAATCTAAATTAAACCTTACAAATTTAAGTTTTAATTTAATATTTATTAAAGAAAGATCATTTATTTTAAAATACACATTTGTTTTGTTTAAATTCTTAATTTCAATTGATACAGAAGTTAATTTCGGTCTTCAATTCCACAGAATTTTCACGAAGGAAAGTGAAAGAATTTCTTATCAATACCAGATACATATATCACAAACAGGTTAATTTTAATTATCGCACTTGCGACCGCGCGCTCGCATTTGAACAAATATTTATACATTTTTATTATTGATTGACTGTTACACGTGGCACTTTCACTCTTTTTCGAACAGTTTTCAAATGATATCACATTTCATTCGGAATATTTTTGTCATTTATCAGGTCACATCTGAATATTTTATTTTTTTTATAGTGATTCAGATAATTCCTCATGAATAATGGAATCTTAGTAGTAATTTGCGTGCACAATGATGTTTCTTTATTCTTGTAAATGGACCGTATCGCTAACAATCGATTCTACGAAAATTGAACAGAAGGTACCAATTTATTGCTTGCTACTCAATAATCAGTAAACCATCAAGGTTATCGATTTTTAATTGATTTTGCAAGTAGCTTTGTTCATTCACGAAAGTAGTATCTAGATGTAATTTCAATTATCCTTGGTCGATCGTTATATTACGCATAACAGGATACGTAAAAAGCAATTATGGTTATCACTATGCACATCGTAAGCAGTTTTTCATTGTTGAAAAAGAATTGAAAGCTAATTAATAATACCAATTTTTACGATAATACCGATTTTATTACTTTTCCTGCGTGTACTCTTTATCACTATAGTACATTACGAATTAAAATTTTTTGAATTTTGAACTTAAATTAATAAGTGATAAAATATGAAGTTATAAAATTTATATATTGAAAAATAAATTTTTTTGAGAACTGCCAAAATTCGACACATTTTTTTGACAATTTTTCAATTTAATCAAATTCTTC